GTGTTGATGTTGTAATTTTTTTTTATTGATTTACAATTTCAATTTCTGAGTTGAATTTCATTATAATTCATTGTAACTTTTTTTTTTTTTTTTGTATTGTACAATAACAATTTACTTGAATATAATGTGATTTACAATTGTTTTGATGTTGAATATAACAAATTTCGATCAAGACTCCGTATTTTACCATTTTGTTTGGTTCGTATTTCTGATGTTTGTTTGTATATTATTTTTATTATTATTGCAAGAAAAAAGTTAAAAAAAAAATACCAAAAAGGCACCGGTTAACCGGTGCATAAAAGAGCTTATGGCACCGGTTTTGAACCGGTGCCAAAAAGGGGGTATTTGGCATCCCCCACATAGGCACGGGTTCAAACCGGTGCCTTAGGCCGGGTTTGAACCGGTGCCAAATTTGTTTTTTCACGCAGTGTTAACACCTACATAAAAAAAAAATTATTTTAACACCAGACAAATTTCCAAAAGTTTGGTATTACCACCACTTAACTGATTTCGTTTAGGATTCCGTTAAGTGGGCCATAAAGCCACGTGTCACTTTATTATTGACCAAAAAAAGAAAAAATAAATAAAGATGAAAAACCTAAAACTACCCCAGCCACCACTGCGCCACCACCGCCCTCCCCCCAACCCACCACTGCCCTCCCGAACCCACCACCATCGTTGCACCTGCATCCCCAACCCACCTGAACCCTCCGCCTCCCTTTCCCGCAACCACGCACCCCCAAAAACCACCAAAGCTAAAACCCTCGTTCCCCAAAACGGCCACGAATCCGGCCTTAAAAGGCCGAAATCGTCCGGTTAAGGCCACTCTTCCCCAAAACCGACCAATTTCGGCCATTTGTGGCCGGATTCGTGGTCGTTTGGAACGAGGGTTTTGGGTTTAGTGGTTTTTGGGGGCGACACGGTTGCGGGAAAGGGAGGGGGAGGGTTTAGGTGGGTTGGGGCTGCAAGTGCGATGCCGGTGGTGGGTTTAGGGAGGAGGGCGGTGGTGGCGCAGTGGTGGCGTTGTGGTGGTGGCTGGGGTAGTTTTACGTTTTTAAAAAAAAATCTTTTTTTTAAACAAATAAAATGGTGACACGTGTCACTGTGGACCATACTTAACGGAATTTGTAGATGGAAATTGTTAAGTGGTGGTAATACCCATTTTTAGTAAGTTTGTCTGGTGTTAAAATCAATTTTTTATGGGGTTCTTAAAAACCATTTTCGAATTTTTGTATGGTGTTAAAATCTAAAATTTTCTAATATTTAAGCAGAATTACATAGTATTTTATTTAGTAAAATAACATAAAGTTTGCATAAAATAACACAATGTTTTAACAAATTCAAAAATAACATAGATTCGATTGAATCAAATCAAATTAACATTTTTAGTTCAAATTAGTAGTACATTTCAATTAATTAAATTAAAATAAAAAATCAAATTTAAATCTACTTTGTTTTGCTCATTCTTGTTCACAATTGTTGAATCCTTATATTATGATGAATGTCAACTATTTTAATGTAGTGAAATTGATTTTCAACTTTGATTGAACAAATTTGTGCTTGTTTGAGTGGTTAAAATAATAATCAAATTTTTTTTATGGTTTTTGTTGAGAAGAATGAAGGATTTGATGATGCTAATTTAAAATGGTGGGTTGGGAAATTAGAGAGAGAAAAGGTAGGGAGGGAGAAAGTGGCCTCAAGAGAGAAATGATATTGAAATTTTTATTATTTTAGGTTTAATATACTCTCATAGCTTTTTATGTTATTTTATTATAAAGATTTGTTATTTAACGTAATATGTTGGAGTAGCGGTAGTACCTAATACTAATTGGAGAAAAAGACCAACAATTAAAAGAAATAATAACTTTCCTTTTAAAGGGATAATTAAGAGGCCATAACAACCAACTATTGATGAGCGTAACTCCCAAATTAATGACATTTTAAACAAATTAATTTAACTCAAGCGAATAAACCTTGAATCTTGTAACAAATACAATATTCTAATAATAATGAATTGTCAAAGAAAAAATGGGTACTAAAAAGATAAGAGGCCAACAACCCACATACTTAGTAGTGTGTTAAACTACTCCAAAATATACAATGCAAAGATATGGTATTTTATCAATGTGAGACTATCACTTTTTTTCTTTTTAGATTAATACACATTGACTTGCGAAGATGATTCCATTAATATGTGGCTGGTCATACGATGTGGTTGGTCATACGATGTGGGTGGGTTACTTAGTCGGTCAGTGTTTACTCATTAGGGGGTTACTTGGTCAGTCATGGATCAGTCGGCGAGGTTGTGTAACCAGAGTTACACTATCCGAGGTTACTTGGTCGGTTAAGGGTTATTCAGTCAGTGTAATGGTGTGTGCTACCAAAATTCCAAAACCTTGTAAAAAAAATAGTTTAAATAATCCCAATTTTGATTGATTTTATTTTAATAATCCTAACTTTGGATTATTCTAAAATAATCCCAACTTTAGGGGGCTGTTTACTTTCTACAATCCCAAACCAGTCAACAAAAATCAATGACATGATACAACAGGTTATGTGCCACATGTCAAATTGTAATTGATCCAAAAAAAATATAATTTTTATTTTAAAAAAAAAACTAGAAAACCCCTTATCCCTACCAACCTAACCCTCACCCCCTGGCGCTGGCTCGCCGCGCTCATTCCTCCCTTCCCTTGCCCAATGCTGCACCGGTTTCTCCCCCGTCCCCCTACGCTAGTGTTGCGACCCACCCCATCCATAATCTCCTCTTTGGTTCTCTGCCTCCATGAAAACACCCAGTCGAAACTCCCTTGACACCACTCCCTCCCTCCCGAAAATCCCTAATTGTCCCCTCCCCACCATCGAAACCACAATGGTTTTGGTGTAGGGGGAAGGGCGGTTAGATGTTTCCGGAGTAGGGGAGGGGTTTTCTTAGTGGTTATATATGTGGGTGTTTCGGGGAGGGGGATGGTGGTTTAGAGGGAGGCGAAAGGGGTGATTCCAGGGGTGAGGGAGGGGCGGTGAGCTAATGAGGGAGGGGGTTGGGTTGGGTGGGTGGTTTTTTTCTTTTTAATTTTATTTTTTTTAACCAATTAACTTGCGACAGGTGTCACTTTAAAAAATCGTTCAACTGATCATCGGTCTTTGTGATTGAAGAAAGATAACGACCCTCAAAGTCGGAATTATTGCAAAATAATCCAAAGTTTAAATTATTAAAAGAAAAGGGAATTTTCCAACGATAGCCCCCTACTTTTTTAGTTTCTCAATGTTAACTTTCAATTTTTAAAATTATCAAATATAACCCCCAATTACTAATTAGCCATTAAATGTGACATTAGTAGGTAAAAAAAGGGTTTAAATTACAATAATTTCCGTTAAGTTGAGGATGAATGAGTTAATTTGCCAACCATGGTTAAAAACAATTAGGGAGAAGCATTAGTGCTGCCAACCAAATTCCTTTTACACCATTTTTGGAAATTCTTGATTATACTTTCTCTGTCTCACAACTCTAGACTCAACATCTCATCAAAGTTGCAGATATTCTACATACTCTTCGTCAAAAACAAGCAAATTCTTCATTCTAGCTTTTGTGGAAAACGATCGAAAACGAGGGATGCAATACATTCGAAGGGTTTTGTGGGTCTTGATGTTTTAATCGAACGATTTATGACTTTTTACCTTTGTATTTTTTAGGGATTCATATTACAAGTAAGTTGATTATACTTTCTCTGTCTCACAACTCTAGACTCAACATCTCATCAAAGCTGTAGATATTCTACATTCTCTTCGTAAAAAACAAGCAAATTCTTCATTCTAACTTTTGTGGAAAACGATCGAAAACGAGGGATGCAATACATTCGAAGGGTTTTCAAGGTCTTGGTGTTTTAATCGAACGATTTATGACTTTTTACCTTCATATTTTTTAGGGATTCATATTACAAGTAAGTGCATGCTCTCAATTATGGGTAAACAAACTTTGTCAACATTTTGGCAGAATTGTATGTTGGGTTTGTATGTGTCAATTTTGCTAAAAATTTCATATTATGATGATTCATTTTTCTATTACAATGGATTGCAGAAAATTTGAGAGAATCGGGTTGACACTTTGCTTAAATATATAGAAATTGGTGTTGGATTAATATGATAATAGAAATTGGTGGAATTGTGAGAGAAACCTTGTAAGTCGTAGCAATATAAAAGATATAGGGAAGAAGGCATGCAAGGTATACGTAGCCGTCACCTATCAATAGGGATGACAATTGGGCGGTGCGGGTGCGGGTACCCCTCCCGTATACCCGCACCCGCCAAAATATTTTATACCCACCACCTACCCGCCACTCGCGGCGGGTAAAATTTCAATATCCACACCCGCCTAAGAGAGTAGAAACCTAAACCCACACCCGCCTTTTACCCGACAACTCAACATTTTTTTAAAATAAATTTCCTATATAACTTGTCATTATACTCTTTAAGTTGTTGTGAATATATAATATAATAGCATAATACAATGTAGTAGGCAATATGTGGGCATTTAGTCGGGTATGTGGATAAGTAGACGGGTAATGGGTGGGTCATGCGGATAATAGGTTGGTATAGCTCAAAATCCACGTCCTACCCACTACCCACAGGAGTAAACACAAAATACGGTCCCTAAACTTTGCCAAAAGTTTGATTTTGGTCCCTATACTTTCAAAAGTCTGATTTTGGTCCCTCAACCACCAATGACTCATCAATTGTGGTGGTTATTGTAACGAGTCAACAAAGTTTAGGGACTTTGCCATATTTAATTGCTGACTGGACCAAAGTTTAAGGACTTCTAATACTGACTGGACCAAATTTAGGGACTTTGCCTTTTTTTAATTCAATTGCTACGAACTATGTTAATTAACCATATTTTTAACTTTAATTAATCTAATTATTTTACTCATTCCAATCTTGAATTTATTTAATTTCCCACGTTAATTTTAATAACTTTATGTTCTCTCTCCTCAACTTCTTACCTTCCCCATTTATTAAGCTCCACCACCCTACATATACATACTACTTCCACTACCAATCTAGCACCACCCTCTCCCACCGAAAATAACAAGGTGGTGGTCGTCGTGAACTTGACATGGGTTATCCTTCAATTTTTTTTCCTTGATTCAAAACTTGTTTGTTTTCAATTTGATTTTTTATTTTATTTTTTTTGTTTAATTTGACTGACATTTTAGATTTGTTGGTAATTGGTTTTTTTTTTTTTATTTATTAATTTTAAGACAGATGTGGTGTTATAATGGTGACGCCCAGTGGTTGTTTATGTATTGACAATGGGCTAGTGGTTGTGGTGGTGGTGGTGACTATTGTGGTTAAGTTTAGGTAACTGGTAAGGATAAATTATTGAGTGAGTTTGGCAATTAGAAAGGTTAATTTTATGGGATTAATACTTGGAATGTATGGAAGTCCCTCAACTTTAGTCCAGTCAGCAAGAATAAAATAAAATAAAAAATGCAAAGTCCCTAAACTTTGGCCATGTCAGCAATTAAATAGGCATGAGTCCCTAAACTTTGCTGAGTCATTGAAATAGCCACCACAAATTATGACTTATTGGTGGTTGAAGGACCAAAATCAGGCTTTTGAAAGTTGAGGGACCAAAATCAAACTTGGATCGTATTTGGTGTCTGGCGGACCTACCCTTGGTCCAGGTAGGTCACGTGACCTAGCAAAAAAAAAAAAAAAAAAAAAATTAAAAAAACAAAAAAGACTGACAGTTAGTACTGGAAGGGGAAAAGAAAAACAGAGACCAAATTCAAAATCACGCACTCTCATCCTCTCAAATCTCAATCTCTCTCTTCGCTCTTCGCCGCCGCACCGCCACTCGCCGGAGTCGCCGCCGCACCGCCTCGCCGGCTGCTCCATCCGCATACACACACACTCGGCGCTCTTCGACTCTTCTTGCTGCCAGGTAAGTTTGTTTTTAAGTTTTTAAATTTGTAAATTATACCCAAATTGTTGAATTGTTGGGTTGAGTACTTGAATTTGTGATTAATTGAGTTGATTATGTAATTTAATCTAGTTAATTAGTGTGTGTTCTATTGTTTTTTGAAATTGTTGATAATTTATCAATTTAGGGAGTTAGGGTTTCTGATTTTTTAGGAATTGAATTGCTGGTTTTTTTTTTTTTTTTTAGGAATTGAAATTGTTTCCTGTAAATTGATAATTTGATATTATAAATTGTTTCCTGTAAATTGATATTATAAATTGACAGTAAAATTGAGTAATTGATGATTTCATATTAGAACTTAGGGTTTTTTTTTTTTTTTTTTTGGAATTGATTAGTTTGGATAATTGCAAAGGTGGATTGTAAATTGAAGCATTTGTGGTTTTCTTAATCTAATAGTTAATGTAACTTAATTTTCAGAATTAAAAGGAAAAAAATGTGTGATATCACAAGTTTCTTTGGTCCGAAAAATCCCCCTCCTCCACAAAATCCTCCTCCTCCACAAAATCCTTCTCCTCGTAGAGAGCGAGATATGTTTTTGAATGTTGACATGAATGATATTATAGATCAATATCAAAACATGAAAACCCGTAGAGAGCAATTGTAATTTCCTTTATTTGGTTGTAATATGGATATTTATTACTTTTGGAATGTATTTTTTTTTTAAATATTAGCTTTTTTTTTTAATATTCTTGCATTAATTATTGATTAGTAGTCGGTGGTGACCTAGCACCCGAAAAATCCTGGATCCGCCCACAGTGTGTATGACTTTTGTATCCATACCCGCCTAGCTTGTACCCATACTGCCCCAACTGGGGTGGGTGCAATGCAGAATTCACATTTTTATACCCACATGCCATCCCTACCTATCAAGGAGGAAGATCATGGTCAGTTATCATAATGTTGCACCAATGCATGATAATTTCTTGTTAGTTTGTCAATTATCATGGAAGAAATTAGCTTAATTATAATAGTTAACCATGATTAGGATAATTATCATAATCAAACATGCATTTAACCTTTTTTTACCTACCTAATGTCACGTTTAAAGACTAACTAATGTGTACCACAGCCGATGCACCGAGTTTTACTTTGAATCTGAACAAATATTATTTGACCTATAAAATATAAACTATATAATTAAAATAAAAAGAACAATAATAATTATGAAACCAAAGAAGTGCTCTCAAATTAAGTATTTAGTATGTTTTAATAGTATATAAAACATAATTAAACAATAGAAAAGATGGTTAGAACATCAATTTATTTTTTATTGGTCTTGTTTTCAAATCTTATAATAAGCATTTTTATTGCCATTAAAACATGTTTGTAGTTTAAAACATGTTTACAGTATAGTGGATGATGTGGCATATATCCAATACATGTGAAGGGTGCCATGTGGCACATATTTCGTTTTAGGAACACTTTTAATTTATAATAATAATAATAATAATAATAATAATAATAATAATAAGTACAAATTAGTAATTGGGGTTTATATTTGATAATTTAAAAAATTAGAAGTTACCATTGAAAAACTAAAAAAATAGGGTTTTCTAAGCTATGCCCCCGTAATTGTTGAGTTTCTAAGGTATGTCCATGCTTTTTCAAAATTACAAAATGCACCCTTCCAACTTAAGGTATTTATTTAATCGTACTCTCTAACCCAACATGAGTATTTGTGTTAATTATTAATTACTCCACTATGGAGAGAATTTTCATGCCTAAATTGGGTTAGATTTTATATAAGAGGATTAATGTTAAACATTTTTTTCCACATTTTCTCATCTTTTCTTTTTTCTTCTAAAAGCAATTATTAATATTCTCTTGGTGTAATTCTTCTTTTTTCTCATCCACTTTTTAATACTTTATATGTTATTGAAATTACTAACGTCGAGTTAACGTAAAAGAGTACGGTTGATTAAATAATTTAAATTGAAAGACCCAACTTTACTTATAATTTTGAAAAAGCAGGCCACTTAAAAACTCAAGAAAAATAGAACCCGGCAAATCAAAAGAAACACAAAAAACATTCAAAAGATGAAAAGAGACGGAGACGAGAAGAAGATGAAGAAGAAAGTGGACGAAAAACCATCAGAATTCGAGTTCTGCAAAATATGCAGAATCAACCACAATCAAGGTCGTCGCCACAATTCCTTCCCACGCCACACCAATTCACTCTCCTCACTCTTCACTCGCTTCCATCAGAAGCTCTCCTTCGTCAAATCTTCACTCAGAAACCCTAGCTTCGTTCTCTCTTCTTCGGATTCTCCTGATCGTCTTTGGTGCATCTTTTGTGATTCCGACATTGTTGAATCTGATTCTGCATTTGTTTGGTAAATTTTAATTTTTTCGGATTTTTTTTTTTGAATTTTTGGCTGGAATTATGATTGGAGTAACTGTTAAATGTTGCATTTTTACATATATTTCACAAAATTTGGTTATGTTTTCATGTAATTAGTGGTAATGTAATTGAGCATTTGGCGAGTGATGATCATCTGAAGAATTTGAAGCATTTTCTATGGAAGTATGGTGGTGGTATGAACAAAGTGGATTCTTTCAGAATTACGGTTGAGTTAGCTGAGGTAGTTAACTAATTTAGCTTCATTATTTAAATGGCAATTTGTTATTATACTTAATTGTATGTATACTTGTATTTATTTGATGCAATTTTTAGTTTTTGATTGAATGATTTGGTGATCTTTTGTATGCCTATTTACTTTGAACTTTATGATGTGTTCAGATTGTTTAGTTTGCAAAAGCGATCGAAAACAAAGGGAAATAACCTATTGTTTAGAGTTTATGTTTAAGGATACATCTATATTTATTTAAGAGATAATAAATGTCCTATCTATCAAGAGTAATGAGTATGTAGTTATAAGTCACATCAAATTGAGATGAAGGGTCTATCTATCAAGACTCAAGAGTATGTAGTTATGTATCACAACTAAGTATTTGAAATTCTATTGTCCAATCCCGAAGATGATTTTGATGAAATTCTTATTTGTGGGAGGATGAGAAATGGTGTTTCTACCATGAAAAAAGTGTTTGGTTTAATTGGCTTGTGTTTCCATGAGTGGTTATGCATCAAAAGGCTTCATAAAAAAAAAGGTCTATTGTTGACTTGGTAGCTTAGTTATATAGCTTTTGCTCCGTTGTATTTTTCTTGCTAACATCATCCTCACCCCATCGATCATTCTATGTTGCAAAAAATTACCGATGGTGGCAACTACCTCATAATAATGTAATTCCTCCGTTCTTTTTTACTTGATCCGCTTTGAATTTTACACTATTTACCACTCCTCCTTTGACCGGTTTTGTGAATAATATTTAAAGAAAAAGATATTCATGTAAGATATTTTTAAATTCGTCTCAACAAGTACTATCATAATATATTAATTTTATAATTTTTACTTATCGAGAATTAAAGTTATTGATCGTTAAAGTTTTACATCGGCAAGCGTGATAAAAGAAACAGGTCAAGTAAAAAAGAACAGGGAAGTATGTTGTTACAGAGCATTCTGCAGTTTATACCTTATTATCGTCCATCTTAGAAAGAAAACTAGTTTTTGGCCTGGTCCTGGCTCATTATTACGTGAAATAAGCACTTTCGCTAAGTATGTAAATTCTGAATGAGTTGGAGATATGATGGTTATATACTATAGCAACAACAAAGTCAAGTTATCAAATGAATCAAAGAGAGATATATAAGTAGTCCCTCTCCCACCTGAGATGTAGAGACTCATGGTTGGGTCACTTGGGTGTGGCATATGGCAATGTGGCAATGGAAACTATGTCTTTTTTTCTAGAAAGGGAAGGAGGAGGCATTGGCTTGTCACACTTGAAATATAGGACTGATCATATCATATATTAGTAAATTACCATAAGCCGGAGCTGCCTTTTTTACCTCTTTTAGAGTAAGTAAGAAAATAGACAAATTGATGTTGCTTGGCCTGCTCCTATTTCTAAGGGCCTCCGTTAATCTCAACTACCAAACACCAGATAAAGATGTCTTTATCTATTTTTTTATTTTTATGAATTCCATGAATTGTTGTGCTTAGAGTGTAATTTATGTTATATGTTCTTGACTTCTAGTTTCTAGCCTTCAGCTACTTGCACATTTTTATGCCATTATTTCATTGTTATGCAGTGGAAGAAGAGGTGTGCAGTACTGAAGAAGGATGTTCCACCATCGAGATCTTCACTTGGGCAGTCGTATGATATCCAAACAAATTATGAATTCATGAATAATTCTAACATAAATAATATTCACTTTCTTGAATCACGTCTCTTAAAAGATGTTATACCTTTACAATATGGCACAAATGAGAATTACCAGGTATATCATTCAGATATCTCACAAGCTGGTGAAGTTAGTTCATCTGCGTACGATGTTGCTCCACATACAACTTGGACCCCAGAGCATCATATGGAAACTCAGAGTTTAACATGTATGAGTATGCTTACTTTCAATAGATTATACATAGTTCTTCTTATCCTTTCTCCTTTCTTTTTTCTTTAATGAATATTATGTTGTTAATGGATATTTGTTTTTTTGGTCTGTGCTTTCATGGCAGGTCAAAGTAGGCAACAACCCCTTGCATCTAGCGTGGAAAATGTCTTTTGCTGATGGTCTTGTAAAAACAGGGGTAAGTTTGTTGTTAATGGCTTTATGTCTTATCTTATTGACCATTAATTGTTTAGTTTCTTTGTCAATAAACTGGCTTAGATTTTCCCTAAAATGGTGGTTTGGTGATTTGATATGTCAATATGTGCTTAAAATTTACGTTTTCACCTTTACCCCAAAAAAGGAAGAGAAATGAATTCAAACATGAATGGAGGGATAAGAATGAAAAAATTTGACAAGAAATGCAGAATTTGAATGTCATGTTGTCACCTTGATATTACCCCCTTTGTCTTGGATTTATCACACTGATTTGACGAGCGCATGTTTTTATGCACTACAATGAACTTTCTTTATTTTATAAATTATTGTTTATTTATTATAATTTATTTATTTTATATTTTAGTTTGTAGTAAGGTATATGCTATTGTTATTGAAAGTGGGCTATTATTTTTGATTGGTGTCAGTGAGAATCTTTCTGTGTGAATTTTGTTAAGGGAATAGCAAATAAATGGATCTAAGTGAAAATTGTGGATCAATTCTTTTATAGAACTATCACAAGTAGCCTATGACAATTTTATCTTTAAATTGGTGTTACTAATCTAGGAAGGGGGATTGATATTACACTTTTTTGAAATTAGGCTGTATAATTTTTTTTTGTGTGTATCTATTTCCATTTTTTATTTTGCTAGACTGCCAGAATCATTAGGGTTGCACAATAGCCTGGACAAAGGAATGGATATGGGTACAAATTTGCATGTCCAACACAAAAAAATTATAAAATCTTAGGATACATCCAAGATTAGGAAACATATATAGGGACATGAAACATATTAAATATTTCGGATTTTTTTACCAAATGCCCTTAAGTTTTTTTTTTATTTTTTTATTTTTATTTTTTTATTCACTAAATACCCATTAAAATTTTCAAATTCACCATATACCCCTGAATTTAACAAAAATGTCACTAAATGCCTAAATGACTAACGGACGTTAACTCCGTTAGTCATTTAACCTAAAATTGCCACGTGGCAACATTTTATTAGCTGTTTTTTATTATTATTTTTAGCCACCACCATATCCCCGCCGGCGTAGGGTCCAGAGAGACGTGTGTCGGCGTCGCCCCAAACCGACACCCCTCCTAGCCGTCCCTCGCCATCTCCACCATACTAGCTGTCCGTCAAAAACCTCTCCGCTCCCTACCGCTGGCTTCCAAACTCTCATCCATGCACTGGAAAACCCAAACCGCCCCTCCCCCTTCCATCTCCACCCCAAGAACCACCACGCCAAAAACCCCAAAATTAAAAAAACGTCCAAAATCAAAACCCTAGATCTTGATTTTAGGGTTTTGATTTTGGGGTTTAAGGCTTTTAGGGTGGTGGTTTCGGCTAAGGTGGGTGGCGGCTACGTGGAGGAGGGTACCTGACGGCGAAGGGTTTTGGCCGGAGTAGTTCACTGATATTCGGCTAAGGTGGAAAGACGGTGAGGGGTGTTTGATGTTCAACTAAGGTGGAAAGACGGTGAGGTCTAAAGGGTGAGCACCGTGGTTGGCGTAGTGGGGGATGGAGCAGGGGTTGGCTGGGAAGGCCTAATGTTGGTCGGTGCCAGCGAGGCTGGTAGTTAAAAAGGGGAAGGTGGCTGGTTGGTGGGTTAGGGGTGTTGGGTTTTATTTATTTATTTTTTTTTGGAAATTTTCAAAAAAAAATTTTAATTTTTTTATTAATGAAATAATTAAAATAAATAACCAATCAGGTTCTGCACATGGCATAATTACTAGGGGTGAGCAAAGACCCAGGGTACCCGGTACCGGACCCGGAACCGGTTAGGATCCGCCGGGTCCGGACCCGGAACTGGTTCCCACCGGTTCCGGGACCGGGTCCAAAATGTCGGACCCGGTTGTAACCGGTTCCGGGACCGGGTCCTAAAATTTCGGACCCGGTACCCACTGGGTACCCGGTTTAAACCAATTCCAGTTCCGGGTACCCGGTCCCGGATCCAGACAATCCGGGTACCCGGAACCGGTACTGATTTAGTTATAAAAAATTATTTTTTTTTTAAAAAACCCAACAATCCACAGTCCAATACAACATTAGGCCCATTTCATCCAATTCATTTCTGCTAGGGTTTCTGTCAGCCACTAAGCCTCCTCATTTCATTGAATTCATTTTTTGCTAGGGTTTTGTTCTTCTCTGTTCATTCTCAATCTTCTCTGTTCTCCTCTGAAAATCTCATCTTGTCTTCTTTCGTTCTCATCAATTCACTGATTCTCGGTCTTCTTTCGTAAGTATTTTTCTCTTGGTACTCAAAATCTCATCCTCTCTTTCGTTCTCATCAAGCCACCGAACGACTGTCTCTTTCGTAAGTATTTTTCTCACTTTGTTTGCTTTTTGTTTCATCTTGCATATGTAGATCTCTGGTACTGTTTATTGCTGCTTGCATTTTCTTTGGAGATAGTTAGAGTGTTTATGTTAATTTTAATTTTTATTTTCTTCAATTTCTGAGGGTGTTACGAGTGTTTAATATGCTGAAATCAATGAATTGGTACAAATTGACTGCACTTATAGTCTTTTTCTGCAATTTCTGGGTGTTTGAATAG